TCATCAAACTCATCAAGTAATTTCATGTGGTTGTTATCAATCAAAGCATGATCTTTCCTAAGGATTTCATGTTCATTTTTAAGCTCTTCTAATTCTAAACTAAGGCTAGCATGCATTTTCTTCATTTTCCTATATGATTCATGCATGTGTTTAGAAACTTCAAAAAGTTCATCATTAGTTAAGTCACATACCTCTTCTTGATCTGACTGATTAAGATTGTTGGCCATTAAGCATAGATTAATGACTTCTTCTTCCTTTTCAATCTCTGATGAATCTAAAGCTGAGTCCACTTAGAAAACTCTTTGAAACTTCTTCTTGCACTTCTTTACAATTGATTTCTCCTCTACCTTCTCCTTGCTAGGAGTGGCTTTGAGTTTTGGGCAATTTGTCTTTATATGTCCAGGTTTCCTGCACTCATATCAAATAATTTCATTTGAAACCTTAACATTTCTATTGAATTTATCTCTATTCCACTACTAGCATCTCTTCTACTTCCTCTTCAGAAAGCTTCTGAATTGTCTAGTCATCAATGCAATGTCGTCTTCATCCTCAGGTTATGAGTGTTCACTCTCAGACTCTTCCACATTCAGTGTTATATTTTTCTCCCTTCGTGGTTCACCTGCATCAACTTTTCTTTGGCTAACTCCTTGCTCATAAGCAATAAGAGAACCAAGAAAATTGTCAATAGAGTAAATGTTTAAATCCTTAAACTCTGTAATTGCAGTAATTTTAGCATCATATATAATAGATAAGCAACGAAGAATCTTATTAACCATTTCAGCATATGTCAACTCCCTACCCAATGCATGTAAATATGTGACTATTTATGTGAATCTTATGTACATATCAGAAATAGATTCTTTTGGTTTCATGCGAAATAGTTCATAATCATGCAATAAGATATTATTAAGTCTATATTGCTTAACCTCATTAGTCCCCTCATATGTTATACAAAGTCTATCCCATATGTCCTTTCCACTTTTGCAAGTGGAAACCCGCATATAGTCTTCTGATTTTAAAGCACAAAAGAAACTATTCAAGCATTTGACATTTAGTTGTGCTAAGTCACGTTCTTCTACTATCCAGTCTGTAAAAGGTGTTTCAACTCTAACTCTGTCAACTAATCTAGTTGGTTTTGTATATCCTTCATGGACTAAGATCCACATACGATAATCAAGTGACTGTAAAAAAGTAGACATGCGAGTTTTTTAAAAATCAAAAGGTATATTGTCAAACAGTGGAGGTCTAGTTATAGAGTAACCCTCTGGTGTGTTTCAATTTCTAAATGTAGCCATCTACGTTAATCAAAAGGTAGTCTAAACTTATGATTTTGAAACAAAGCTCTGATACCACTTTTTGAAACTCGTTCACTATGAATTAGCATGTTAAGCCTAAGCTTATGTCCCATGTCTAACCAAGAGGGGAGGGGGGGTGAATTGGTATTTTAAAAATTAATCCCTCTTTTGAGTAATTTAAACTGAAATTAAACTTTAATAAATTTTTGTAGAAATAGTTTTTCAACCACAATTTTAAAATAGTAAATAATAAAAATAAAAAAGTAGCGAAAAAAATGACACCAGATTTATAGTGTTTCGGTCAAAACCAGACCTACATCCACTCCCCGGAGGCACCCTCTGAGTATTGCACTAATACCACTAGTGACTCTTCTTTTGCACGCACAGCAAGGTAGAGAAGCCTTTACAAAACTCTTTTCACCACTATCCGGTGCGGTAGAGAACCGTCGTCCTTTTACACTATCCCTAGTGCTGGCAGAGAATCGTCTGTCCTTTCACACTCCTCTGATGTCGGCAGAGAACCGTTCATCCTTTCACACTCTCCCGATGTAGGCAGAGAACCGTTCGTCCTTTCACACTTTCTCTGTGTAGTTAGAGAACCCTTCGTCCTTTCATACTCTCCTAGTATGGGTAGAGAACCCGCGGCTGTTCACACTCTCCAATTGTCGGCAGAGAACTAGATCTCCTTGATAGATCTTCTCACAAGAATTTTAAAAGGAAGAAAGAAAAGAGTGAAGTAATCCAAAATCACAAGTTGAGAATCTTACCTTTAAAAAATAAAATAAAGCCTTCACGCTCTAGTAGTAAGAATTCTCCTTTTAATGCTCTCTCAAACTCTCTCCTTGACTTTTCTTTCAACAGAAACTAAAATCAACGAGCAAAAAGATTTGGTGGTAGTCAAAATTGGACTATATATAGAAGAGATAAGTAAAACCGTCCAAAAACTGCAAATTTTCAAGTCAACACGAAATGGATCGTCCCGTACGATCGTGGATCATCCTGGACGATTTTACTTAAAGTGTCGGAAATGATCCTAATGTATATTGGTACGAACTATGTTCATACACGATCATCATCCCGTACGAACTAGGTTCGTCTGGACGAACAGTTATTTCATAGGTCGGTTCCAAAATAACTATGTGATGTAACCAACTTACTTAAGTCAGTTCCCATCATCCTGGGATGAATAGAATTTCATCTGGATGAAATATTTACATATAGTAACTCATACAGGCACGATTATAAATGTCGTATGGATGAAATTTGTATAGAGCCCAACTCGTCCGGGGACGATTATAATTTCATCTGGACGAAAATTTTACAGAGCCTAGATCGTCCTGGCACGATTATAATTTTGTCTGGATAAAAATTTTACAGAGCCTAGCTCATCCTGAGACAAAAATATTTTCGTCCTAGACGATCAGGACTTAGAAAAAATTTTCTCCAAAAACTGTTCGTTCCATTGCTCTTATAAGGAGATAACTGGCCTGATCATCCCGTACGAATTATATTCGTCACGTACGATCAGTACAAAATTTTTAAGATCTCTTCAAGTGTGTGTGTGTGTGTTTATTCACTCAACTACAATCTCTCCATCTCGAACTTAATTAATACAAAAATTACAAGCTGCAAAATACAAGATATCTCATGCTGAATTTGATTTGAAGTATTCAGTAGTTTGTAGTTCGATTTTTCTAAAATGTTATTACACACAAGAGTGAAAACAAATTTTCCAAAAAGTATTAGGAGATAAAAACATATAAAATAATAATATTTGGAATCATCAAAACTATACAAGTTACAAGAATGTAAAATATGCAAATAGCAACTCTCTTAACATGAGTTTTGCTGGACCACCTCGTAATGCTGTGAGTTTCATCGAACCAATGCTTAACGCCATGAAATTTATCAGAGCACCGCCTGACACCCTAAGTTTTGCCGGACCACTGCCTAATGCCCTGAGTTCTACTAGACCATCGTCGGACGCTTACGTTCTGCGGGACCACTGCCTGACACGCTGAGTTCCGCTAAACCACCACCTAACGCCCTAAGTTCTACCGAACCCCCAATTGATGCTGGAGTCCCACCAAATCACCAACTGATATTGGTGTTTCTACCAAGCTATTGCCAAACTACTAACTTGTGCCCAAACTACTAAATGACATCAAACTTCAACCGGACCACCAAGTGACGCCAGTTTTGACACCACATTTTAATTATGGTTGATATTTATAATTTGATATTCTTGAAGGACAAGTCAGCCCACTATACCCTTCTCAAATTCTTGTGGAATCATTTTCAACTAGGCTAGAACTCATGGTTCTTCTCCTTTCCAGGATTTTTTACATAAAAAATCTTGTGTTCTCTATGTGTGAGCTAGATATTCATGCAATGTTAAGATGTATAATTACAACTCTATCACTGTGTATATTCTAGCTCTTAATAAGGATAATAGCTTAAATGATTGAATGAGTTAAGTATTAGTTTTTCCAACCTATGAAGTATACATAAAGCTCAGTCAAATTAAGATATAGGGTTTTATTTTTATTCTAATTTTATATAATTTTTAATTATCATTTTTATAAAGGTCAATTAAATAATTAAAATATAAAAGTAATTCAAGGACAATAATAATTTAAGTATAAACATACTTTGTTAATATGTAAACAAACACATAAATAAACACTATATACAAATACTTCTATAAGAATGATAAAATATGCATAAAATATATATTGAACACAAACATGATATAACATTCATAATATAATGAGTATTAGCATAACACATATATGGGTTGACTCATAGGAGCGCTAAGTTTAAAGTCTTCAATTATACTGTATAATTGACTATACCTAAGGTTGGGTTGCATCCCAAGTAGCAATAAGTTTATAATCTTTAGTCAGACTTGCCCAAATTTTCCATTCGGCTAAGGTGGATGATTGCTACTCTTCAATTAGGTCCCATTAGTATCTCTTTCCTTCTCCTTAGGATTAACGTAAGTGTTTCTAGGTAAAGATCTAATGGGTCTACTACTCATAGAAATTACAAGCTGACTTAATTGAGTTTCCAAGTTTTAAATTGAAGTAGCTTAGTTTTGTAATTGAGTTCTCAATTGTATGATCATATCTATTAGTAATGTATTTTTAGTTATATACTGGTTGCCTTGATTAAATATAGGAGGATAAGCTAGTCTTTGATTGTTATTAGCTTGATTTTGATTATTCTAATTTCCTCCTTAGTTATTTTGACCATAATTTTATTGATTTCCACCATTATTATTTGACCAACTAAAATTTGGGTGATTACTCCAACCTAGATTATATATATTTGAATAGGGATTATTGTCTTCCAATCATATTTACATTTTCAATCCCTTAGATATCATTATCTTCAATTGAACTTTTATCTTCTAAATGTAAAAGTTAAATCATAATTTAAGCATAAAGTGCTCAAACTCTTTAATAATAATGCAACTTGTGCATTTAAAATGAATAAAGAATCATTTTTATAGACTCCTAACACTCTCTTAGGATTCACCCTATCAACAGACCACTAGATTTTAAATTTTGTTATTTCATTAATTAATTCATAAGCATTCTCAAAAAGCTTAGGCATTAAAGATTCTCTAGCTGCAACATTAATTAAGCCTCTAAGGGATCCTACCAATCCATTATAAAAGTTTGAGTTATCAACCAATCTGGTAAGGCTTGGTGAGGACACTTTCTAAGCATTTCCTTGAATCTCTCCCAACTCTCATAAATAAATTCCCCTTCTAATTGAGTAAAAGAAGTAATATCATTTTTAAGTTTGGCAGTCTTAGAAGATAGGAAATGCTTTCCTAGAAATTTATGGGCCAACTAATTCCATGGGGTAATAGAGCTTGAGGGTAAAAAATTTAACTACGTTTTTGCCTTATCTCTTTGAGAAAATGAGAATAATCTAAGTCTAATGGCATAATCAATAACACCATTATCCTTAAATGTTGTATAAATTTCTAAAAAAAATTGTTAAATATACATTAAAATCTTCAATAAAAGTTTACCCAAACTGAGAATTATATACAATATGAATAATTGTAAGTTTTAATTCAAAATTATTAGCTTAGATGGCAGATTTATTTATGATCTAATGAATTCGTCTACCATAGGGTCTGCAAAATCCTTAAGCTGTCTAGAATGATCTAAGTCTTGAACAGGATTAGTCATTTTCAAAATTGAACTTTTACTAATACTAATTTTTTAATGTACTCACCTTTTTCTTTTGATTATGTTCCTTTTATTTTGAGAACTATTTTATAGTTTTTTTTCTTTTATGGAGTGCATAATTAATGATTTTGAACATCAATTTCTGCTATAAACCATCATACAATGTTAATGATTTTAAAGGAAGAACTTGATAAGATTACTAATTTCATTTTTAGGTTAGCTATGATTTTAACTTTTAATCTACTCATATCTAATTTTTAATACTAATTATTTATTTTTCAATTTTGAAAGTTAATTTTATAAAGGTATAGTTTATAAATTTAAAGTAGGATTGATACATCATCAAAAAAATTTCATGATCGGGCACGAATCTCAAGGCAAAATCACATTGGAGACTTCCAAAATTAAAATTGGAACCATCTCAAGTTTGATTTCAGCAAACTTACAGTCGAACTGAACGTCTCAAAAAAAAAAAAAAATCCAACGACACAAAATTTGACTCAATCCGAGCTAAAATGGATCCAAATCAAGGGCCCAAAGAGTTGTTGGAAGGTTTAAACCACAATTTGAATCAAGCTGCTCGACGAGATGAATCCAACGAGCTAAAGATCACAGAATTTCGACATCACTAAGACCTTCAAATATCTAGCGACGGTTCATGATCAAGGGATTTAATATCTAGCGTCCATCTAACACCCCCCCTGCATTTACCATTGATCTTTCTCATATTATTGGTCATGCCTCTTTAGGAATTCTATAAATAGATCCCTCCTTCCTCTTGAAATGAGACCCCTAAGCCTAAGAAAAAAAGAAAGATTATAGATCTCTCTTACCTCCTTGCCTCCTCGACCATCGTCTGGAGTTCTACCGAACCACCACCTAATGCCAAACTTCATCCAGACCACCACTTGACGCCCTGAGTTCTGCTGGACCACCACCTGATGCCCTGAGTTCCACCAGACCACCACCTAACGCCTTGAGCTCCACCGCACCACAACTTGACGCTCGGAGTTCTGCCGGACCACCACCTGATGCTTTGAGCTATGCTGAACCACCACCTGACACCTTGAGTTCCGCCAGACCACCACCTGACACTAGAGTTCTGCCGGACCACCACCTCATGCCCTTAGTTCTACCAGACCACCACTTGACACCTTGAGTTCTATCAGACCACAACCTGATGCCCTAAGCTATGTTGGACCACCACCTAATGCCCTGAGTTTTATCATAGCATCGCTAGACGCCCGAAGTTCTGTCGGACCATTACTTGATGCTATGATTTTTGCTGGACCACCTCGTGATGCTGTGAGTTTCATCGAACCAATGCTTAACACCATGAAATCTATCAGAGCACCGCCTGACACCCTAAGTTTTGCCGGACCACTGCCTAATGCCCTGAGTTCTGCTAGACCATCGTCGGACGCTTAAGTTCTGCACGACCACCGTCTCACACCTGAGTTCCGTTGAACCACCACCTAACGCCCTAAGTTCTACCAGACCCCCAATTGATGCTGGAGTCCCACCAAATCACCAACCAACATTGGTGTTTCTGCCAAACCATTGCCAAACTACTAACTTGTGCCCAAACTTCCAAATGACGTCAAACTTCCACCGGACCACCAAGTGACGCCAGTTTTGATAGCTTCTAGAATTTTTTGTGGTGGAAAGCTGATTCTTATAACTAGATTTGGTAATTTATGATAGCTTTAAGAAAGCAACTATTTGACCTTTTTTAATAAAGAACATATTATAACAGCCATAACATTTCCAAAAAGGTAAATCTTCTTGTAATAGCTTCATGAACACATTTATAAAATGCTAGAATCACCCCAAATAGATAATTATAAGACAAATATTAATGTGAGACTTCATGCTCTTAACACCTTAGGCCCTTATTTCTCTCTCTACTACACATCTCAGATTATGTTCATGCTTCTTATGAGTTCTACACCCTCTCGTTCATCATTCTTAGTTGTACTACCAATATGACATACCACTTTGTGACTTATATATAATGCCCTTTATGATAGCCTTATACCTTTTGCACGCCTTCTAAGCTTCATGTATAAAGTTTTTATGGTTGTCTTACATATTTTAAACATTCATTTCAAGTATGTTTTCATGCTCCTTGTAAGTGTTGTATATTCGCCTCTCATGCATCATTCTTATTCCAACTAGTGAGATAACTCATGCTTTATGACTTATGTATTATGCTTCTTACAAGAGCCTTGCACATTCTTTTCATATATACATCTTTGGTACTAATGAAAATGAGACATGTGTTATGGTTATATGTTTAATATCATACTCCTTATGATGGCAACATATTTCCATCCATGCCTTATTCTTGGTTTAGTTACCAAGATGGTTCACCTCCTATAATGTGTATATAATGTTCTTTATGAGAGCCTTATACATTTCACACACTTATGTGGTCATGCATTGTGATTCTTATAAGAGCCTTATATAATCCACTATGATGTTCTTCTTTGGTGCCAATACTGAGGCAACATGTGTATATGTTCTAAGATTATGTTAATGCATCTTACAAACACCACAATTTCCCTTACATCCTCTTTCATAGTCTAGATGTTGCTATAATACACCTTTTGTAACTTGTGAATGGTGTTATTTATAAGAGCCTTACACACATTACACACTTATGTAGTTCATGTATAATGCTCGTTATGAGAGCCTTACACAACCTGTATTCCCACCCATATTACTAACACTAAGGTGACATGCGTATAGGTTCTAAATTTGTGTTTATGATATGATCTTTCTGAGAGATGTACATTTCCCACATGCCTTATTCTTGATATGTTTACTTAGATGACATGCCCTCTACAACTTATGAATGGTACTTCTTATAAGAGCTATACACACTTTGCACATCTTATATGACATATACATTGGTTATTGTGTGAAACTTACATGTTTTGTACACTTTATTTTTGTAGTCTCTATTCGTGTCCTTTTTGAGAGCTACACATTACCATTGTGTGCCTTATTCTTAGTCCAATTACCAAGATGGCATGCCATTTACAACTTACCTATAGTGCTTCTTATAAGATCCTTAAACATTTCACACACTTATCGTTCATATGCGGTGCTCCTTATGAGAGCCTTACACTTTGCACCTATATATATCCTTTCTTAGTCTAGTTAACCTCATGGCATGTTGCTCGCTCAGTACCCATCAAACTTAATATAGATGCTAAGGTTGTCCACCTCCTATGTGTCTTATCTTTGGTTTATATATTAGGGCAACACACCCCCTTTTACTCTTTATTACTCCTTCCAAAAATTTATGAGTTGTTTTATTGAAAATATATAACAAATGAGATGTTCATAGCACCCAAAACATGTGTTATATCCTTAGCTTAGCAAAAGAAGTCTAGGGCAACCAACACTAATCTTAAGAAATAAGTTTAAGTATAAGTCTTGAGATCCAAACTCAAACACAACCAAAGAAGTATATGTAATAAACTAGAAAGGAATCATCCTTTCCAAGGGAAAATTGTATGCTTTCAACTTAAGCAAAATTGAAGAAATCAGTGTAGAAAATACTAATCTTAGGATATGATCTCAAGTACAATTTTGAAGATCTAATCTAAGGCACACTCAAGAAATCCTTTGTAATAAACTAAAATTAGAAGCTTATCTTTTAAGCAAAATTCATAAGATTTAAACTAAGAAAAAAAATGTGAAGCACATGTAATAAACATTACTATGTAGTGTGATTTCAAGTATAAGTCCAACAATTATTGAGTGTGAAGCACACGTAATAAATATTCAATGTGGTTTGAATTCTTCTAGGACTACACTTTTGTATTAAAACTATTGAATACATCAAAGTTTGTACCATAGAAGAATTGTCCTATTAGAAAAGGACAAAACAATTCATTTTAAGTAAATTAATTTTATTGGTATTCATTGAAGAGTGATGTTTAATGAATAGTAGCCCCAAGCAGGTTATGAACACATGCTAAAAACGCTAAATAAAAGTAGGACATGCACTAACTTCTAGTCCCATATAATCTCGAGAGGATCTATTAAATGGACTTATATTTTGGGTTTAACTATGACAAATAGTGCCCATGATAATATTTTTAAAAGAGGTGGATAATTTCTCCAAAATATTCAATTACATATCTTATACCAAGGCCTACAATGCATTTCATAATGTTAGGGTATTTTTAGTTAAATTATTATATTATATATTCTACCATTGACCACCGTATCTAATAGGGATGCAAAATTTGTATCCTAATTTCAAAACACCTTGTGAAAGCTACATGGGAATAATTTAAAATTATAATTTTGTCCTTCTCCCATAAACTATTTGACTGACCAAGGTGGTAAGTATGACCCTTGTGAATCTCCTTAAATGTTTAGTAGGAAAAATTTTGGGTAATTGGGATTTTTATCTATCAATATCTAGGTTTACTTATAATAGCATTGTCTTTAAAACCACTAAAAATGTTATTTTAAATAGTTGATGGTTGAAAAGCCAATGGAAATTTTCGATCTATCGGTACATGTATTTTTTGATACTAGAATCCCCTTTGCTAAAGAATTTCATAGCTTTTATATTAGGTTGT